GAGAGTCTCACAGGGGGGCGGGAGCATCTTCCCGCAGCCATAGGTCTGAGTGCATGGAAGCAGGGGAAGGGCAGGAATGGGGCCGGGCGGGGCAGCCTCGGGGAGAGCAGGGCGGGGAGGCCTGAGTCACTGGCTGGGCCCCTCACCGGGGGATAAAGCCGAGCTGGGTCTCCGGGTTGGACACTGTCCACCCAGAACACAGCATAAGCTGAGGGACGTGGAGGAAGGGGAGGGTGGCGAGGAGGGCCTCACGGGAAAATGACGGGGCTGCTGTGTAGAAACGTGCCAGCCTGGGACTACCCGCCGGGACGTCCGACAAAGTTCGGAGCCCAGCTGACCGTTTCCTCCTTGTAAAATGAGCAAGCCGATCTGGTCCCTTGGCTGAAACTTTTGGGGCCAGGGGTGTTTTGAAATTCAGATTTCATTTAGAGCATGTGCGCACATATGCATCTATACCGATATATACCATTCACATGCTCCATACGTTATGCCTTGCATCCACAGGCGCATCCCCTAGTCAAACATATGAATATTTCTGCAGCCAAAACTATGAATAGTTACACCAAGTGAGTTCAATAAAGACTGTGTAGAGCCTCGGGTCCTGCACACCAAGGTATTTGTGCCTAACTTGTGGAAAAGACGAAGTTGATTTCTATAGTCTTTTGGACTTTGGAATTGTGGAAGCTGGCTCTCCGGCCTATACAAAGAGTCACCTGCCTTGCAAGGTTGTCCCTGTGTGGATTAAATTATGATTGTTTTTTAAGTTTATTTATTTTGAGAGAGAGTGATAGAGAGCACGTGGGGGAGGGGCAGACAGCGAGGGAGAGACAGAATCTCAAGCAGGCCCTGTGCTGTCAGTGCGGAGCCCGGCGCGGGTCTTGAACTCACAAACGGGGAGATCATGACCTGAGCCCAGATTAGGAGCGGTCGCTTAAGCGACTGAGCCATCCAGGTGTCCCTGGATTACATTATTAACAGAAGTAAAGTGTTTACAAAGTGCTGGGTACGTAGTAAGCCCTAAATAACTGTTCTTCAATAGCGTTTTAGTCGGTCCAGAAAACGGACCACCCAGCTTCGTAGAGCGAGGGGGCGGAGGGTGGTCCTTGATCCTCTCCTCTGAGTTTTTGGGAGGAGACACGCGCCCCCTCTTCCTGGGTAAACCTTCCCATTCCTGGTCTGGGGCCCCAGGGCCAGTCTAGAGGGCTGGAACTGAATTCGGATCCTTGAAATGGGCGGGGGTCAGACCCTGAGCCTCCTCTTTGGTCTCCCGGCAGGAAAGACGACAGCGGACGACACGCTGCCGATCCTTCTGGAGCACCGCCGGGAAGAGATCAGAGCCAAACAGGACTTCTACCAGTGAGGAGAGGGCGACCGGGGCTGCGGGAGGTCAGGGGGTGGTGGCGGTGAGGGGGGCGCGGGGCGATGGCTTGGCCCTCGGCCCGCCTTGGCGCATGCGCATCAGGGCCCACAGTCTCGGCTTCTCTCCGCACCGCAGCTGGAGGGTCTTCGTTCCCGGCCTACCCAACTACGTGCACATCCCCAGTTACCGCCCGCCTGCGCGGAGAAACCCCAACCGGCCTGAGTGAGGACCCGAGGCTGCCCTGGGGCCCCTTCCGTGGCTGACCCCTGGGCTCTGCCCCCTCCACCTTCCCCGGGGCTCCGCAGGTGCCAGGCCCCAGCCCTGCACTCTCTCCCACAGGTGGAATGGTTATATCCCCGGTTTCCCGATTCTCATCAACATCAAGGCCACCAAGTTCCTGAACTCAAACCTCCGCTACTCCTTCATCAAGACGGCCTCGTTCTTCTTCCGCCTGGGGCCCATGTGAGTGTGTGCGAGTGAGGGGTCCCCGTCCCGGCTCCGCGCCCGCCTCCACCGCAGCCCTCTCCCCCCTCCCCCCCCACCAGGAGCTCGCGACAGATCGCCATCCGGGCGGGCAGAGAGCTGAGAAGCCACGACCGGGGAGCCCGGGAGGTGGCGCCAGACCCCCGGCCGCAGAAGGACCTGGTGCTCTGGGCCCGGAGGCCAGGCGGCCAGGGGCCTCGGCGGGGCTGGCGGCTGCCTCTCTGAGCGTCTCCCCCTCGAACCCCGTCCCTAGGGCGCTGGGCTTCAAACTCCGCGGCCTGGTGGACTGCAAGCAGTCGTGGAAGAGGCTGAAGGACATCAAGAAAATTTTCCCTGCCAACAAGTCCATCATCTCCGGTACGAGGGGCATCGCGCACCGAACCCGGGGAGCCAGGCGGCCTCCGGCCGGAGGAGCGGCGGGCGCGCGCTGGAGGCGGGACCCCCGTCGGGGCCGCGGGAGGCGGGGCGCGGGGTGAAGCCGAGGCCGAGGGGACCAGAAGGGCGGGCGCGCCCCCTGGCGGCCTCAGGGAAAATGCCGCCCTGGGCGTCTCCAGCCGCTCAAGCGGAGGCTGGGGGCTTTCTGGGATCCCCGATCTTCCTCTGTCCAGGGCCTCAGCCCCACGCTTCTCTGTCCCTGAGGATGACCGGGTACCATCTCCCCCTCCCCAGAGTACGTGGCCGAGCACTGGACAGAAGACAGCTTCTTTGGGTATCAGTACCTCAACGGCATCAACCCAGGCCTGCTCCGCCGCTGCACGCAGATCCCAGACAAGTTCCCCGTCACGGACGACATGGTGGCCCCGTTCTTGGGCGAGGGGACGTGCCTGCAAGCGGAGCTGGAGGTGAGGCCCCATCCGGAGGGGATCCCTGGCCTCCCCGTCTCTTCCCACCCACCTTTGCTGCCCCCAGAGTGCCCTCCGCTCCTGCATTCCCGCTCGGGTCTCTGGCCAACCCCTGCCCCCTGGGGGCGCGGGGCACTCCGCACCCAAGGCGTGAGTCCCAGGTCCGGCGCGTTGGCGCTCACCTGCCCTCCCCTTTCGGCCCCCTTCCAGAAGGGGAACATTTACCTGGCCGACTACCGCATCTTGGAAGGCATCCCCAGCATCGAGCTCAACGGAAGGAAGCAGCATCACTGTGCCCCGCTCTGCCTGCTGCACTTTGGCCCGGAAGGGAACATGATGCCCATCGCCATCCAGGTGCCTGTGGTGCAGGCGGGGGGCCGCTGTGTGAGCGTGTTGCCAACGCGAGAGCCTGGTGTGTGGCCCTGTGTGTGAGCCTTAGACTGAGGCCCCGGTGGCCCATCAGACCACTGGATGCTTGTATGCCGGTGCATGAACTCGGGTCTCTGGGCGTGCACTTGTGTGCAAGTCCCCGTGCGTAGAATGGGCACACTGGGTGCGCGCACACAGAGGTGACCAGATGGGGATGTGCTTGGTTGTTCAAGCTTGTCTCTTTGGGTCCAGTCATCCATTTGCTCGAGAAGCCAACACCTGCCGTGGGCCAGCCCTCTGCTGGAAACACTGAGCTAATCAGACGTGGCCGCTGCCTTGAGAGAGAGTGGCCTGGCAGGAAAGGGAACCGAGGTACTATGTTTCCAGGGGTCTCCACCAGCATCATGTCCAAATTAGAAAAAGGCATCCCTCTGGGGACGGGGTTCAGCCAAACTCTGATGTTCCTGGCTCATTAGTGGAACAGCGTAGGCTAGATTCCAGGGACTTCCTCTGCCCCAGGGGGCTGGGTACCCTTGCGCAGTGCACAACTCCTGCAGCTGAACGGGGCGACTGTGGGGTTGACATAAGGGAGGCTTCTCAGGCAACTTGTGAGCTGCTTTTTCTTTTTCTTTTCTTAAGTTTATTTATTTTGAGAGAGAGAGAAAGAGCACAAGCAAGGGAGGAACGGGGGGCGGGGAGAGAATCCCAAGCAGGCTCCACACAGCCAGCACAGAGCCTGACCCGGGGCTCGAACTCCCGAACCAAGAAATCAGGACTGGAGCTGAAATCAAGAGTCGGATGCCTAACCCACTGAGCCACTCAGGTGCCCCTTGTGCTGCTTCTTAAGAAATGAGTGGGAGCTTCCAGGTGGGGGGGGGG